CATAGAATCATGGAATCAGGGAGTCACAGAGTCATGGAGTCAGTGAGTCATGGAGACATAGAATCATGGAAACAGAAAGTCACAGAGTCATGGAGTAATAGAGACACGGAATCAGGGAGTCACAGAGTCATGGAGTATTACAGACACGGAATCAGGGAGTCACAGAGACACGGAATCAGGGAGTCACAGAGTCATGGAGTAATAGAGACACGGAATCAGGGAGTCAAAGAGTCATGGAGTCATGGAGTAATAAAGACATGGTATCAGGGAGTCAAAGAGTCATGGAGTCATGGAGTAATAGAGACACTGAATCAGGGAGTCACAGAGTCATAGAGTCAAGGAGTAATAGAGACACGGAATCAGGGAGTCACAGAGTCATGGAGTCATGGAGTAAGAGAGACACGGAGTCAAGGAGTCATGGAGTAATAGAGACATGGAATCAGGGAGACACAGAGTCCAGAGTCATGAAGTAACAGAGACACAGAATCAGGGAGTCATGGAGTCATAAAGTCATGGAGACATGGAGTCTGAGAGTCATGGGAGTCATAGAATCATCATAGAGTCACATGGTGAGGTTATGGAGTCACGGGAGTGGGAGTCATTAAGTCACGGAGTCATAAAATCATAGTCATGGAGTCAGGGAGTCATAGAATCATACAGTCATGGAGCCATAGAATCACACAATCATAGAGTCAGGGAGTCATAGAATAATACAGTCATGGAGTCATAGAATCATACAGTCATGGGGTCGTGTAGTTATGGAGTCATGGGAGTCATTAAGTCTCAGAGCCATGGAATCAGGGAGTCACAGAGTCATTGAGTCAAAGAGTCACAGAGACAAGGAGTCAGGGGGGTCATAGAATCATAGAGTCATGGAGTCATGCAGATGAACGTTTGTACCAGTACTGGGAAAAATTGACATTACAGCTTGCACTTGTTCGCTTTCTTTTGGCCCTGTTATAACAAAATCTAGCTCATTTATTCTATTTATTTATCATTAATCTTTGCCTGGAATTTCAGCAGGCCATCAACCAAACAATTTTATTTATTTTATTATTCTTTAAAAAAAAAAATCTTGATCCAATTTAGGTGCATACACAGGATCACTACAATAAATTGTTTATTTTGAGACAGTGATACCACCCTGACACAAATCGCTAACCTAAAACTACAAAGTTCCATCTGCTTAGTAGGCTACCTATTTTTGAGAAATTTTGCGTAAAAAATTTTGAGTTTCACAATATTTTCACCTTTCACAAATCCAATTCTCTGAATATCTTAATAACGACTCCGAATAATCTTATGATTATGATAGAGAAGATCATAGAGCATTTGATTTTTAACCTCGTGGTTCTAGTAACTCAAAACGGCCAAAAATGTCAGATAGAACTTTGTAATTCTGATGTAGGGTAATGTAGGACTGGCCAGCTCACCACATGTTTAAGCCGTCTGCGTGCTTCGTGCAGGGCCCGAGTGACCAAGGCCACTGCCAGGTCTCCTGAGACTCTTTCGTTGTCCTCACTGACCACTTGACCTTGCAGGAGGCGCCGCCACTGCTCCCTGGTGTGACGAGGGGGAGGGAGGAGAGAGGAGGATGAAGGGAAGCACAAAAATAGTGTTGAAGCATAGAGTGGACAACAGTTTAACATGGGACTAGAGAGAGAGAGAGGGAGAGAGAGAGATAGAGAGAGAGAGAGAAAGAGAGGTAGAGAGAGATAGGGGGAGAGATATGGAGAGAGAGAGTGGAGAGAGAGAGAGAGAGAGAGAGAGAGAGAGAGAGAGAGAGAGAGAGAGAGAGAGAGAGAAAGACTGAGAGAAAGACTGAGAGAAAGAGAGGAGAAGAAGAGAGCCAGCCTTCTGACTTACATGGGAAAGGAGAAAGAAGGAATGTGTGAAAGTGTCGGTATCATCCAGGGTAAGTCACTGTTTTAATTTTGCAAAAGGCACAAGCCAGTTGAGGATAAAGAGTCAGTGAAAGCAGACATAGGACACACAGACAGGTGAGGACACTCAGACAGACAGGCATAAACCTGAGCTTGATTCCCCGGGTGGGGAGAATTTCTGAATAATATCTCAGTCGTTTCTGCTGGGATGTCGTATCCTTCTCAGCCCGGGTAGCAAGCTGACCTCCTGAATGATCGAAATTGTGTCGATGGGGGTGCAAAAACACCTACATTAAAAAAAAAAAATTTAAGAAAAATAAAAGTGTGCGTGTGTGTGTGTGCATGCATAAATATATAATGTGTGAGAAGAAAATAAGTAGTAAGAAAGGTTTTGAAAATGGGTATTTCCAATGTAAAGCGCATTAAGCTACTTTTTTTGGAAATGTTCTATATAAATGTTCTATATTATATTATTATTATTATTATTCAAATTTAGAAGCCACCCAGTGAGCCGGTTAGTGTGTAGCGAGCGCGACTGTACAGCAGGGGAAACTCACAGCTGCTCCCTGGGTAGGCAGAAGATCTTGAGGGAAGTCATAAGTGACCAGGAACATCCATCTTGACCACAGACCAGCTGCCTGGGAACAAAAAAAACGTACTGACCTCAGTTCACACATTACTGACCTAGCTGCAGTTATGGACTTAAGTTCACATATTGACTTAGACTCGTATATCATATATGTGTCATGACACCGTGGAATCAGGCGCTTGTCAATTTTGGGTCATATGGGGATATTGGTATCGTTTTGGAGCTTGTTCATTTATTTTGCTTTCGATGAAAACAAATACATTATAATCAACTTATATCGACAAGCTTTGAGAAGTGGATTTGATGTCGATATATAAAAATGATGATAAATGAAAGTATAAATCCAAAGGAAAAAACAAGGGGAGGTCAGTAAGAGACAACACTACTTTTTAAAGCTGGTTGCTTCCCTTGATTCTTGAAACTAACAAGAGGCAGAGGGGAGGGGGATTGGAGTTATATATGGTACCAAAAATTGAGTGTCTTTGGAAATTGAAAATTTACTTTTTTTTCTGCCTTTGAACAACGTTTATCAGTAAAACCCACACAGAAATGTGTTTTTTCATGGATATAAAAAGTGTTAAGAAGAAAAAAAAATGGCAGAAAAATGTTGGTTTCTTTGATTACATTATTTTGACTAGAGCTTGATTTCACCAGGGTGCTACATATATTGTCTTAACTTCATATACTGACTGTGGTTCATATAGCATGGACGTGGCTTTATGCACTGATTGTAGTTCATTTATTGACTTCCCTTAATATCGACTGCTTAGTGTAAGACTGTACCATACGCCATTTTGAAAAGAGACATGAGACGAAATATTACATTGGTTCGTTGATATACTGACTTATCTCGTGGCGTCGGTGGCCTAGTGGTTAGGCTCTCGGACTTGCAACCGTAAGG